TTCAGGTAGCACTTCAGCAGAGGAAGGCATGGCTGCCGTTGAAGAGGACTTGATAGGCAAGGTGAACGTAGGCTTTAACCCGCATGCTGATGTAGACCGAATGTATAGACATGTCAGAATGAAAGTGTTGCGTTTTGCACGTTCTGACGACATGCGCAAGACTTGTTGTGGCAGACCTGTTGGGAACACCTTCACGATATACAAGAAGGATCCTGATCTGGCGTGGCCTAAGTGCCGAATTTGTTTCGGCAAATGACAAAAGTAAGTGCAGGCGCTAGCAGCAATGTGCTGCAAGTTGTGCGTATGTGCTCACATGTTCGTACTATCTTAGTTGGAATAGTACGGGGCACTGCGCAGCTGCAAAAGTTGTGTTACGGCGTGCCTGCGCGCTGGGATGTCCAGCTGCAAGCGCCGACAGCCCGACGAGGCTGCCGCTTCTGAAGGTGACCCGAATGATGTGTGAAGATATAGCTCTGCGTGTGCGTGTCTCATTGTCAGTGTGACTCGAATCTGATAAGCGCTAACCTCTTCAAGTGCGAAGTGGGCATTTGCAAGCTTCCTTTTGTCATTTTGCTGTGCCCATTTTTCTTTGAGTTGAGCAGATTTTTTGCTATTTTTCTGGGTTTTCCGTAGCCTCCTGATTATTTATCAAGATGTTGGACTCTGAAGCAGTCCCAAGGAATAGAGCCAAGGAGATTGGCCTTTCGGATGCCATTTGCGCTCGGCTGGATAATGTAGGTTGGAACACTTATGGTAAGCTTGCATTTGCAAGCAATTTTCAGCCTGGACAGGCTGATGAGACTCCTCGAATCAAGTTAGCAGAAGAGGTCGCAGAGGCCAGGCCACCAACGCCTAGCGTTCTGCCACTCATTCGGAGGCTGGTGTACGAATGGTACCCCTCACCGCGGCTGATTTGAAGTCCAAGATTGAAAGAAAAGACGAAGATGCCCCTCGAAAATTAGCGCAAGCAGAAAGTGCTGCGAGGCACCAATCGCAGGCCTCAAGGCTGCCTGGCTTGGAGTTGTGAGGCGAATTGGAGCCAAGTCACCTTTTGGTAGACCTTGTGTTTCAGATGACCGAAGATAACCAATTGAAGTACTTCTGATGGGAACAGTGCACAAACCGGACCCAAGAGTTGATGGGATTGAAGAGAGATCCCACATGGCGTCCCGACTCAACTGGCATTGTAAAGTCCAGGAAGAGGTCAAGGCAGATGTGTCATCCGATCTCAAGCTTCGATATGCTCTGCAAGGTCGATCACTGGCTTTTGATCAAGCTCCTTCGACAAGTTCGAGCGTTGAACACAGGTTTTGCTAGAGGCCTACACGACTACCCCTCCTGATGGTTATCGACGTGTTTCCATAGAACAAGTTCATCGAGCTGACATGGAACTCTTCAAGTTTCTGATGAGAGAGACGCGCAATGGAATCCGACCAGCAGGAACTGTCATGCCTTTGGAAGATGCACTTGCCAAAGCAATCGTAGCCCCAGAAATTTGACTTCACTTGCAGCCCGTTCACCATGGTGGCCGAAGTTCACCCTCCATCAAAATGCCCCAAGAACTTCTGGGACAAGCTGCTATGACGCCGAAGGCGAATTCATTTGTTTCAGCTACAATTGTGGTGGACGCAACAAGGCAACTGCTGGCCAACGTTGTGGTAAAGGTTGGCATCTATGCTCCAAATGGGGATGTCAGCAGGCACACTCGCAGCGTGATCACGCAAAGAGTGGCGCGTGACACACAGAGGCAACAAAGAAGAGGGCGTGGCCTGAAAACGTTTCCGGCTGTCCAGCGTCCTCAGTACTTTGCATTGAATTATGCGCCGGCTCGGCCCGATTGTCTGCAACTTTGGCAGCCAAAGGTTTCAGAGCGCATGCAATCGATCATGTCAAAAATCGACATCGACAGTGTCACCCATGCATCAGTGTTGATTTGGCGAGTGACGACGGCTTTGACTACGCGGTCAATATCTTCTGACAGCAGGTTCAACGCTGTATTGCAGTACAGCGTCGCGGGCTCGCGAAAAGAAGCTGCCTCGACGACTTCAACGTATTGGAGCCCCGAAGCCTCGACCTTTGCGCTCTTCAATGTTTCCGCTGGGTCTCCCGCATCTCTCTCCCGACGAGCAGGTCGGGGTAGCTACGGCCAGTGCCATTTACTACAACATTGCACGCCTGGTGAGAGAACGTGTCAAGCGTCGTGTGGTGATCTCTGTTGAAAACTCGACGCGTAGCTATTTATGGGAGATTCCTTTTTTTCGTGAACTGATTGACGAAGGGCTTCTTGACGAGGTGGCTTTCCAACAGTGCATGTGGGGCAGTTCGCGCAACAAATGGTCGAGTTGGTATGTGTCGACTGGTGTTTTGGATACGCTAGCCAAAACTTGCGATAATTCCCATCAGCATGCTGGCTGGGGCGTGAAACGCATTGACAACAAGTGGAACTTTGCTACAGCTGACGAAGCCGCTTGCCCTCAGCAGCTATGCAATGAAGTGGCCAACCTGATCGTGCATTTAGCCACCCAAGCCCAGGTTTGGGTCGCTGCTCCACCTGCTTCCAAGAGGCAAAAAAAACCTTTCTTTCCATGGCAGCAGCTAACCTTGAGGTGACCATCGTTGTGCGTTGGTTCCAGAGTTTGCGTACGCTCAAGTCAAAAAAGCCGACTTCCAACTGGAGCTCCCGGCGCATCATGCCCTGACGGAAGCTCAGTGTGCGGTCTTGGGCATTCCTTTTCCTTCCAAGTCCAAGACGGGAAGAACCATGTTGAAGGAAGTCAGCAATTTTGGCAGATAGAAGTTGGAATCTGGCGTACTCATGAACAGTTCATAGCAAGATCTTTGGAGATTAGCCACCCTTTTGACGATTCTTCAGGCCTGGATGATAAGCCTTCAAGCATTCTGAAACGAGAGCCAGTCAGTTGCAAGATGCCGGGGCCAAACTTCAGGCTGCTCTGGACGAAGACCGACAGGCTGTGGTAGCTGGCAAACGTTTTCTCCTGTTCGAAGAGATGTGTCGTGATGCGGGCATCACTGATGAAGGTCTACACTGCTTGCAGCTCAACCGTGCTCCCACTGGACTTTTCAGGAGCGACGAGACTGAAGCAGCCGTGACAGAGGTGCAATTGATGAAGTCTGCTCGGTGGTCGCGCAGAAAAATCCTGGGCGAGAAGAGAGGTGATCCACAATCTGCTGAGGTGCGTGCGGCGGTATGGGAAATCACTATGGGGGCCTCACTCGGAATCGGAATTGGCCCGAATTGTGGGGCCCCTCTTCATTGTCTCCAAAAGGTTCGGCCTGGAACAGCCGGACAAAGTAAGACAAACTGACAACCTTTCCGAATCCTTGGCGAATTCGGGTTTTGGCGCAAGCTACAAACTCGACTTAGCTGGGGTAGATGACATCAGTGTGTTGGCGCGTACCTTTGCTGAAGCTAGTGGCGCTGATGGTTCCGTCAGACTGACCAGGGTGAATGGGGCAACCATGGAAGGCATTGTCCATCCTTCTTTGAGCGGCCTGTCCCGGGACATTGGAGGGCGTACATTGGACTTGGGCTCTGTGTCCAAGCCTTGTCCTCCTCTTGTCCTCTGTGGCTGGGCTCTGTTCTGTGTCCAGGCCTTGTCCTCCTCTTGTCCTCTGTGGCTGGGCTCTGTGTCCAGGCACTGTCCTCCTTTCCACACTGTCCTTTGGTAGGATTTGGTCCGCCCCGCTGTTCAAAAGGCCCCGCCGTCAGTTTGCCTTACCATGATGTTGCGCAATGAAATCAACAACTGTATAAAAGATGCGTGCAACATGGATGTAAATCCACAGCCTGTGGGGGCAGTAGGTGGGTATGTGGACCTTTTTGTGCAACGGTGAGGGGGTGAAGGCATGCCATTTTTCAGAGAAAAGGTGGGGCTGGGGCCCCACCTATTTGGTGTCCATGAGATTGGCTGTCCAAGAGGGATGGATGGCAAAGGATTAGTGCAGACTTGGGGGCGTGGCGAAAAAGGAACCGATATCACATGCGCGCTCTTTTGCAATTTTTGCGACATACATACAAAAAGAACCTCAGTTGTGACGTCACAGCGTCTCAATTCATACAAATGCCCTGGGGGTCACCCACGCCAAAATATGACTATAAAATCTCTAGCAAGACCCCCCTGGAAAGTTAATATGTATCTATCTACTGTAATATTGTCTAGTCGATATATACAATCTATATCCATATCCACATCTATGTCTCTATATATATATAATATATATCTATATATCTGTGTTTATATCTATATCTTGTCTAGTTTATTCATGGCAGAAAATGCTCAGATTTTAATCTATTATGTCATATGTTCGTTTGCTGTTTTGGAACACTGTTTGTGCAACCGCTTGTGCTCGCTGCAGTCAGGAGATGTACATGGCTGCATCCTGAGCACTGAAGGTGACAGATGTGGCACCAGTTGAGTCCCAAAGTTTCACGTGAAAAATTGTATTCTGAAGACTGTTTGGAGAGGGCATTTTACCCATTTATTGCGTTTGGGACAGGTGAATTGCTGTGGCGCCTGAGCAGCTAAGGCCATGATGCTTTTGCTGAGGAACATCTTCCGTGGATATGTCGAGTGCCTTGGTGGAATTGAACCGTCAAATGAGCTATCGAAAATTTTGACCCGATGTCCAACGGCGAGATTGCCCCAGTCCTGAGTGACCCCTCTTGCAGCGTGTTGATATCTGGGTTCGGGTACTGGACACTGTGACTCACAATTGCTAGAATTAACCAGTTGAAAGGCGGCACAACTGGTGCGAATCCTGGTCCTCCTTGTTGGTGCCAGACAAAGAACAAACAATTGTAGCGTCATGGAAGGGGCGTGGCCGATTCTTACATCTTTGATTCCCGTAGCTGCTTCCCTGATCAAACGTTTGGCTGCCTGCAAATGCATGCAAATGCGATTTGTTAGAGTTCAATCCTGAATAATGGCCTAGAACGACAACTAATCCTCTCACCAATATGACAAAATGCATTCCATTCGGATAAGAGCAAGTAGAAATGGCAGCAATTCTCATGGGGAAATGCAGTGTTTCTCGGCAGCTTGTGGTGGCAAACCCCCGCCAAACAGTGGGAGGCAACAAGAGCTCTCGCTTCAGGTCCTCTTGCATTGGGCGCAGGGTACTCCTCAAGTAGAAAAGAAACTAATATCTTGAAGCAGTTCAAGACTTGACAGTCAAGCTGAGTTTGCTGCTTGGAGGGCAGGAGAAGCGTGGCCACACAGCCAACACACAGGGAGCTTGCTCCCCAGATGCTGCGGGGAAAGTCCCCGTGCCATGGGGTAGAAAGTGCCACTGGGAAACCAGAAGACCTCAACCCTGGATCTTTCAGCGAAGCTCATGCGGAGTTGTGGGTCTAGGTTTTTGGTCCTTTGCAACAGCAAAGTCATGCCATGAGCGTTTGCAAGAGACGCCAACTGAACGGGGCTCACTCTCTCCATGCCCTCCTTTTGCAGCTTTTGCAGTGACAGCCACAGCAGCGTGCAGCTGCAAGTGACAGATAAAGACCTTGCATCGTGGAGCCGTACAAGACTTCTCTTGACAATGTACAGGGCGGGCCGGTCGCAGGCATTTACAGTCATCAGACTTGCGTGACTTGCATCGTTTGATGCCTTTTTCGACTCTTGTCACGTTGATTTTGCAGAAGCATGGCCACGCAGCCAACACACAGGGAGCTTATTCTCTCGTTGCACATCTTTGGCAAGCGCAAAAGATCGCGTGCATCCGTTTCTAAGTTGGATGGCTTCTTACGGCACGATCTGTTTCAATCAGTCCAGGAATAGAAGTTCTTCCCCAACATAGTGTTCCCCAAAGCATGAGAGAGTCGAGTAAAGTTTCTGACAGAAAAGCTTGGCCCCTTTTTGCACGGGCTAGCTAGCTTGCTGAACACTTGTTTGGTTTCCGGGGATGTTGTTGTTGGAGTGCTGCGTGAAGCTACCAGTACGTGTCAAGCAAGTTCCCTTGCGTGAGCTAACACTCCGGTGCCCCCACCGCCGTGGGTTCCCTGACGTCCTGTTTGCGACCACGCCAGTCTCTATGACCTTCGGAAGAAGGCTGGCTTCCGCACCCGCATCTCGGCGAACCATGACAGACTGCGGCGGACCGGAGGAGCGATGGCTGCGGTGAACGAGCGATGCTGAGGACTCTTGGAGATGCCGGATGAGGAGCGGCCCATCCAGGCGGGTTGTGGTGGGAACAGGGAGGAAGAACGACGTGGCAGTTCAATGACTGAAGAGGTGAGTGAAGGCTTCGTAAAATATCATGCTTGATTGAGTCTGGTTGATTTGTGTCTGCACTGTAAGTTGAAGATCGACTTCAACATAATTTTTTGACTTAAATCTTAAGCACTGACGTATAATCGCCAGGGCAGGGTACGGTTCTGCGATGGTGAATTGATGAAGTGTACAGACGAAGCAACAATGTTGCGTCACAGAAATAACTAAACTTAAATGCGAAATCAGAAAGAATACATCGACAGCAATGGTGGTCCTCAAGAAGTTGGACAATTCTTGATTGAAAAAAGTGGAAATTGCGTGTTTACAACGCCGTCATTACGAGCAACGATTTGTATGGCCTGGAAACGTTGAAGTCCACTGTAGCAGCGGGGCAATGGCTCAAAGGACCTTTCAACTTAATTAAAGGTCTTAGAACATTTACAAAACCAAATAAGTCCAACTTCATTCAACGACACAACTCCAACAAGTAGGCGAAGCACAATGAGCACATTCGTTTTGAATGCACTGGCTGTCGGGAGAAAGTTTTTTGAACAGTCAAGCTGAGATTTGAGAAGACAAGAGACTCAAACTGTTGGGGCATGTGGAAACTCAATATAGAAGAGAGGGGACGCCCACGCCCCTGCTGGACCACAGCAAGCATGGCAAAAACATGGAAGTAATTGAGCAGAAAGATGATTCTCAGCCACATATTTCTTTCAACAAATTGAACTGTGCGATGCGTGAATGTGTCCGGTTGCAACAACCCACCTTTTTCACAAAGGTATTTCACACTCAGTTTGAGTGGAGCAAACTTGGTGTGAAGCAACAGAACTCAGTGTGAAATAGTATGAACACCTTCCCGTCTCTTCATATCTATAGATCATAGATACAACAACAATATTAAGAACTAATTCAATTCAGTTTCTTTTTTTTTAATTTGTGATTACTTGAGGCCTAAGTTGGATAGGAACTGTAGGAAGGAGAGAAACTCGCGCCGGCGACCTGACGCAGGTTATGGAGGAAAAGAAAGAAGCGCATCATTTCGTAGAAGAGCAATCTCACGGCCCACAACTAGCCTCAACCAGCTATCCCAATTCAGATCGGCGAGAGCATGACAATCCGCTCTTTGCAGCTCCATGGTCACAACAGGATTCACAGGATCAATTCTGCTGGCGGTCGCAAGTAGGAAGTCGCTCTTTAATTCTTAAGCGGTGGCCATGTGAATGCGCGACAGAATCGTACCTCACTTCTGTTCTGCACTGCCAGGACATCTTGGAGGACTGGGCTAGGGGGCACATCCTTTGCAGCAAGGGAGACGGGGCTAGGAGATTTCAGATTCATGATTCAACGAAGATGGACGACTCCAACAATATTCCGCTGTCCAACCATTTCGTTCTGGTCTGTGCTCCTATGTTCGAAGTCAGTGTGATTTCAGCATCAGCCTCCAGAAGATCAATTTCAGCACTCACGAGGAGATCTCCACAAGACAAGAAAACTTCGAGGCGCCGGGACAGAGGGAAAACACAGAGCTGAGCAGCAGGGAAGGCGTGGGGAGAATGGGGATTGGCGCTGGCTTTCAAGTTGAAGTAGACTCAGACGATAGAATTCACCCAGATATTTTCACGGGAACAGTTGAAGTGTGACAGATTCGGATATGAATCGAACGGCTAAACTAAAACAAACTGATCCCTGTAAAGAGGAGAGTCGTTGCAACAAGGTCAGGAGCTTATAAACTCAGCATCAACTTCATTCTTTACATCGCAAGTTTGCGGTTCAGCTGACTGTATTTGATAGAAAAGCAAAAAGAACCATGTTTCAGCCTGTTGAAGTGACTGGGGTTGAATGGCCGTGCGTTTTTTTCGGTGCTTTGCTTCAACCTTTTCCAGCATCACATTACAAGCTGCTTGACTGTACGTGAGTTGACCGTACAAACTGATTGATTTTAGCTGAGTTCCTCAGTTGAATGTGCTGGCTGCATTTTCTGTACGATCCCTCTTATCATTTGGTAGGAGGAGGAAGAGATGAGCCAGGAGGCCGGGGATGGGTCGACGAAACGGCAAACCGCCAACACGTGTCAGTGCGAGTGCGGAGTGTGTGAGAGATTGTGTGGGAGATCTTGAGCATAGATTGCAGTCTCGATGTGCTGATGTACTGATCTCTCGTCTCATCCAGTTCATCCCAGTTCGACCTTAGCCGATGTAGACCACACGACAGTTTTTACGCCATGCTTGCAGACCTGCAAACTCTCTCTTCCATTCTCTTCCATTCTTGTGACACTTGTGCTTCTTGCTCAGTCTGCAACCTTGCAAAACCATCCTAAGACGACTTTTCTGCCAAACCCTGTCCTGTTGCTTTGGACACACTAAATGAACATGCACAAAGCCCACCTTGATGTTCCGGGTCCACATTCACCCGGTGAGCAAACCAGGACCTCTGGGGTCAGATGGGTCACGACCTCCCGTGGAACCATGGCGCCTGGAGAAAGCGCCAGAGAGCGGTCACACGCCGGTGGCGGCCGTGCGCGCGATGCCAGTCGACCTCATTCGAAGCTCCAGATCCTGAGCCAATCGAAAGCTATGAGGACGACAGGCCCATGGGACATATGGGACATGGAATCGGAGCTCTGTGTGAATTTGTCCTAGCATTCCAGCAGATGTGAAGCACAGCAGCACAGGTATGTTGTTTTCATGGACAGGTTCTTAGAGCGAAGAGGCTCAGTTTCCTTGTGAATGTTTGAACAATACATTTGCCTCGCTGCCTCGGATCCTCTTTTCGTCTCGCCATCGACCGACGGTCTGGACGGACTGTGCAGTGCTCGACAGGTCTGTCCCAGCGCTTTTGAGACCCAGTCCCAGGAGGGGGTCGTTCCTGGTCCGGCGGGCGGTCGTTACTAGTGGTCGTTACGGACGCACTAGTAGCTTCTTCTTACTAGTAGTAAATTAAGCTACGAATAGCGATGCCAGGAGCCCCTAGTAGCGTCCTTGCCCCTAGTAGTAAGGCCAGGAGCCCCTAGTGGGATCAGAGTTGTACAACTTGGTGCCAAGAGTCTTTTCTTGTACAACTTGGTGTTTCCATCTTGTGATTCTTAGAGGATGGATTCAAATTGGGAATGATTCTGGGAAGTATATAAGTATGCAGATCCGTTTACAGTTTCTTCTTTTTAGTGTTCAATTCAAGCCAAATGTTTAAGAGCCTTATACAACTGGCCAATCCAGAATCCAGTTGGCTACTGCCCTGGTTATGTCTTCCTCCACATATCAGTGACTCCCCCACCTCACAGATGCTGGAGTAGTTCAGGACTGAACCTTCAGAAGTTGATGGGGTCAATCCAGATGTCATGCTTGCGCGGACACTAGGCGCGGACATGAGCGGAACGTGCCGCCATAATATGTGCCCGATGGTGTGTTTGAAATGATACTGTGAGTCGGTGGAACCTGGTGGAATGTATTCTCCTATATGATGTCCAATATACTGTGTTGAGTTTGTCATTCGTCATACTGTTTGCTTTTGGCCTCCTTATCTTGCAGGGATTGCAACTGGACATGCCACGGCGACAGAAACTTGTTTCTGGTTCGACAGCGCTGCGAATCGTGGGGGAACCTCCAGTTGCACATGTTGCCTAAGTGGGAATCATTCAAGCCTTGGGCTTCACTTCGTGTGGTTTTCCTGTGCACGTTGCCGGCCGCTTCAGAGGCATGCAGAACGCGAGCGGCGCTCGAGAAAATCTGGCTCAGATGAGCCAATCGCATCGCAAACACTTCGAAGAGGTCATTGTCGGGGCTCTCAAGGGCCGTGACTGGCCGGATGATTTAATGTTTTTGCGGGTTCAAGTAGAGATAGATAGCTGCTAATTACCTTGATCCATCCGGAGTGAGAACTTCTGGGAGCTGGATGAAATTGAATCTCAGGACGCCTGTGTGGAAGACCTCCAATTGGCGCAACTGGTTTGGCAATGGCTAACACCCATATTGTTCCAAAAAACATGTTTGTAAATGGACGTTCGTCCGTCCAAAACCATTTGGCCTCCTATTGTGATCACTCGATTGCCTCACACACACATGTTGACATCCATTGGATCCTGGATGATCACCTTAATTGATTCAGGATTAATGTGTCCAAATGTGTCCAAGTTGTACACAAAGGACCCGCGAATCACAGTTGAGTCACTGCCAAAGCCACTTGACTGGTGACAGGAGCTGAAGGCAGAGGTGAATCGACTACGCCGAAGTCTGGTGCAGGTGGGATGCAAGAACTCGACCAATTTTGGGTGGAAGGTCTGGATTAGGTTACCTCAATTGTCGCAGCTTGTATCAAACTCAGATATTCTAGCCGCTAGCCTCTTGCTGATTTTGGTCCGATCAGGCAGTCACAGCCCAATGCATGTTATCCCACACTGTTGCTGGCATTTGTAGATCGAAGTGGTCCGATGTGGCCGCTCTGTTGGTTGGGTGGTCATTTCTGTGGGTCTTTCTGTGACCGTTCCAGGCACGGGCTGACTTGGGGCAGCTGGAGAACCAAGGGCATCCAATGAACAACGTGCGGAGTGCTGCTCGGAGCAGATTACTTTTCTTGGCTGGTCTGTTGGCCTGTCGGTGAGACATTAGGCTTGGCATCTTTGTAAATGACCACCAGGAGTTTACGCTATTGTTCAGATGTTCTTTTTGTGACCGAAGAATAGATCGAAGGATGATAGAATGTGTAATGGAATCTATGAATCTGGAATCCATCCAAGTATGTGGACAATAGTTGAAGTCGTTTCCATTCACTTGATCACCACAACGTTTTGTGCATTCCTTTTGGTGAACTCGCCCTTCAGCGTCGGCCCAGGCTTCAAGCCTGAGCCGAGAAGGCGATGAGAGGGCTGGTTATGCCAGCCACCTCTGATGTCTTCAGCGAATTGGTTGACTCAGATTTAGTG